TTTTACAAAGCAAGGCTATCATCCGATCTCATGTAACTCTACAAAACGATGGTGTAAAGGCGCGTTTATTTTAGAGCGACACGACATTGACAGGACCCCGACGCAGGCACGAGGCAGACGCAGACTATCGGCCGACGAGTTGCCCGCCGATGAAGTCGGCAGACCCCATGGTCACACTAGGCCGCCCCAGACGACGGCACCTCAAAAGACAACACGTTGGCATAGTGTAACGGAATGGTAGACCGGAAGCACCAGCAAAACCCATCGGCAGACCTGTCATCGGCATTTCACCAGGAGATCTGCCGCTGAGCGAAAATTTACCCATGTCTTTGCTTCAAATGACCACAAAGGGGGAAATCTTGGGGGAGGTAACAATGCTCCCTCCTAGGCTTCCACAACGTTTGAATAGTCGTCTTGCTCACCCCGGAAGTCTTCTCTTCGCGTCCCTTGATGCCTTGGATTGCGGATTACGGCGGGGGCTGCTGGAGAGGGGCAGCCGGAGAGGGACAATGACAGAGCAGGGAGCATGGCTGAAATTGAGGTGCAGGTGCCCAATTTTGACCTGTAGTTTGCCTCCAGTATGACCACAGAATTGGCCAACAAAAGGCTGTCAGCCCGACAAGGCACGGATAGTCTTCCAGAGACCATCGGCAGACTGTTTGTGTCGTAGTGTAAATATGACGATGACAAGACAAGCGACACTCCCAAAGACAGTCGGAACACGGCCGCTCCAGGTACATTTTTGGCGCCGTACTTTCGTATTGAGAGCGCAGCCCGCCTGTTCACTCACGAGATAAGCGCGCACACAGACAACCCCGGCCGGGAAGGCAATGTTCGCTCCGCAGAAAGAGGAGGCTAGCGCATCCTCTCCCCCCCCCCCCCCACACACACACACGAGCACGCACACACACACACACACACACACACACACACACACACACACACACACACACACACACACATCAATGGCGGCGACGGCAAAAACCATCTGAGACTGTTTATACAATTAAAAGCAAGGAGGTCATTATGCTGAAAAACGTACGTCATGAGTTCTGGCAGGGCTACGTAGACTTGTATGGGATGGACAACCCCAGTAGCGAAACCCGATGATACAGAGCCTAAGAAGGGACCATAATTATAACATTGCAGTGACTTACTCGCTTAATGACTCTGTGTGTGGCTTGAGAAAACAAGGGTTCCACAAATGTTTGGAAGTCTAGAAACAAACCAAAGCTTTTTACTCGCAGATTGGACTGTGTAGTGGACAAATATACACATCTGCGTCAGTTCTTTGACGTACATACAGTGGAACTTCAATTATACGTCCCCTAGTTTTGCAATAACCCGCATTTTACGACGAATCGGTTTGATCTTCACAAAATATTCATAAAAATAATGTACATTCGAGCCCGCTTATAACTAACGTGAGCGTGACGCGGAATCCGTTCGCTGTATCCCGAAGTTCGTAGTAAATGAAACACAGCTTTTTAAAAAAGTTGCAAGTGAAAACACAAACTTTTCTTGCCTCAAAAAAGTCCCTGATGCATGTATTTTGAAGAACAGAAGTGATAAGGGCGGTCTCGAGTTCACTTAAAGCGGCAGGGTGTTCGTTTGCCGAGGCCTGTGGCATAAGCTGCATGAGGCACTGGCTCCAAAGTTTCATCGTTCTTGCAATCCGATTCCTCCAAACCGCTCTCGCCACGTGCTTCATTCAAAATGCCCCAATCCGTGCACGGTATCGCAGTGTCGGCATCATCATCGGCTGTAATTAAAGCATCGTAACAGATGTCGCACCTGCTCTCCCAGGTCAGAGTCGACGACACGCGGCCACAAATCGCCGCTGCAGTTCGGAAGCTTGAAGCCAGGTGGTCAACAGCTATGAGCAAGCACTCCGCAACACGACACCTAACGTGCGGATTACGCTCAAGCCAAGCGGTCGACAACATTTTGTTGAGCAGCAGGAAAAAGCGTGCTACTAGTCCTCCCGTCGGCCATCATGAACACGTACGCACACCAAAAGCGAGCAAGTCGCGCACACGCGACACACATGCCAGAACGCGTGGAACAGCTCTGGGCCCGTATCCAGTCAGAAAACGAAACTAACTCGAGCCAGCGTGGCGGTGGAATCGGCGGCCGTGGTCAAAAAATCGTTTCGTTGCGCCGGCAGGTTTGCGTGGCCTCACGAACTTTGATATTTCGCGATTCGTTCCGCGCAAGTGAACAGCCGTTTTCGCGCTTCCGCACGTGCGCGGAAGGCATGCTGTGTTGAGTGCAAAGTGAGCGAGAACAAGTCCTAAACACGAAACGAATTGCAAATTATCAGAGTCGGTGGAATAGCGTACACAGGTGCACTAGACGCAGACTATCGGATACAGTCGATGGCCGACAATGTTGGCAAATGGTCTGGTCACTCCAGGCTGGCGACGCCAACGACAGTACCAGCGATCAAAAACAGGGTAAATGGCCGACTGGTCTTCGAAAGGTCGGTGGCAGTGTGAAAACACGAGCCTCGTCTGGCGATGCTGGGGTGCCCAGAGTAGCAGGGGGACAGGGCGGAGGGGTGCGTAACGAAAAGCGGTTGGGGAGAGAGGCAACTAGAGGGGCGCGGAGGCAGGGTTGGTGTTTAACAATAAGAATGTATGGGCACCTCGCCGATGCCTGATCGGTGGTTGAAATTGGTTTCTTGGGAAGTGGGCAGACCGCTGACTTTGTTCGCTGTAACCGATTTGTGACGCTCAAAGACGTTCGTTGTAAGTGCGATTTTGTGCCACTGAACCAATGTATATTTTCACGGTCATGAGATATTTTGCGTTTCAAGTGGGGCCGTTATATGTGGGCTCGACTGTATTAGGAACCCTGGTTATACAGTTCACCCTGGATATAATGAAATCGATAAATTCCCAGAAACATTCTCTATAAAGAAGATTTTGTTATTGCTGCTTTGGTAGGAAATTCGTAAAATAAATGCACAAATTAAACAAAAGAGGGACTGAAGACAAAGCTCACTTACAACACTTATTCAGCGGTAAAACAATGTTATTAATGCAATAGCAATGATAGGACATTCTCAGCGGGTTTTTGCACTCGCTGCCATTTTCCGTAACAAGTTTAAATTGATAACGTGCCCCTGTGCATCGTAAGTTTCATGAACAGGCAGAAGCGTGCGAGCACTGATGAAGCAGAGATCAAATGAGTCGGTCCGTCTCTATCACCTGGAAGGCGCACAAGATAACATCCCCTGCAAGTCAGAACTGCCGTCGAATGCTCCAACAGAAAAAAAAAGGAAACCCGTGATTTTAAGGTGGTCGCGATCGCTGGTGCTTGTGTTATCTCGCAAAGGTCAGTGCGCTTTCAACGTGAAGAGACTGAGTCAAAAGAGCACTTCTCCCTGGAGCGGCCGTATTTGTTAATACTAGCGTTTTGTAGGAGTTCCACATTATCGGATCCAAAAGAGTTGGCTGCCAGTTTTAGTTCATATAAATTTATAATTTTTTTGCTATTGCGTTCATTGCATTGCGTTCAACGAGCCATCATGTTGTTGCCAGAGCTAATCGGTTGATCACAAAGGCTGTGAGCCTGCAAACTCATGGGGCGGCACAAGAAGGAAGCGCGTGACAAGTCAACTTCTGAAGATCTGTCGTCACCGTTGTCTTAAAGGGTTTCCATCAGCGTCTAATCTGACGACCCCATAGGCAGTGGGGACAAAAGTTGTGCGTATTAAAAAAAGAAAAGAAAGAAAGAAACAAAAGCTGAACGTCGTCGGAGGGGCCACACCATGCACGCCTGCACAGAGTCGAAAACAAGGAGCGAACGACACGGATACCGCGGAAACTTATTCGCTAAAGCGCCTCCATATTGCGGCCCCACATATGTGAGACTAACTTAAAGTGTGGCACTGCCAAGTAGTTTTCTTTTTTCTTTGTTTTTGGTTTGAAGGGTGGTCCGGGGGAAAGGAGGGCGCATTTTTCATCCACTTTTCTTTCTTCACTTATGTTACAATTACTTCTGATAGCATCCCCTGTACTATCCTGGCATTATTGTCTATTCTCATTAATATTAGTATTGTGGCTAATGAAGAAAACGAGAACGGTTACACTTTCCTTGCTTTTAAAGATGATGGATGCCGTGTGAGAGCAGCCTTACTACAGCAAGATGCTGCTATACCATGAAACCACCTAATCATTTTGGGTCACTTGTGTTCATATGTGTGTCAGTGTGTTCATTTTGAATACTGGAATATTTGTTCGAATTCACTTGAATATTCACTCGAATATTCACTCATCCCTAAAGAACAGCAATAGTAACAGTGTGGGTGGTGTTCCTATTACATACCCACGACGTTGTTTCCTTTGAAGTGATAGAAACAATTTCTTAAAGAATGCTTTGATTTAGGCAAGTTGTTGTGACATGTGCAAGTTAACTAGCATGAAATATGAAGGCGGGGGATGCTGACAATTTTGCGGATTAACCTATTTGGACAGTGATAAGATTTGTGCTTTCAACATGATTCAGTGACGTGCCACGTGTGTCTGTGTTTTGGCTTTATTACCGCATTGATTTAAAAAGGTAGGAGTCATGTTTTTTGTCTTTGTTTGCTACGTTCATGCAAGTGGCCCCTTGTCAGTGATAGGCATCAAACGAAGCTCAGTTTATAGCTCATTACTGGTGCGCTGTGTGCATGTTTCTCGTATCTTCGTATTTGATGCTGTTGAACTTGTGCACACTCTTGAATGTATGCATTCACTTAATTGGGTGTGAAAGAAAAAAACATGTTCTTCCGGAGCATGTGCACTGCAGCCAGTGTTTTAATTATAATATTGTAGAGACTGAAAGGCAGAAGTATGGTGCACGCACAAACTAACAAACATTTTTTGTATTGTGTGCAGTAGGCACTGAAACAATTAAAAGTGTTAGGAGCTTGTAGCTTCCACGCTGTTCAAAAACATTATACAAATACTGATGGCCAAATTTATTACTTCTGCTTGCCTTCTCCTTTGCAGGTGGGGCTACGCTAGGTCATCCTGGTGGTATCAAAGGCGAGCCCGGCCTGATGCCAGTTCCCTCGCCACAGCAGATCCAGTACCTGGGTTCCTTGGAGAGCCAGGAGCTTACTATCCAGAAGCAGGCCAACCTGGGGGTGCCCGACGGCTCCCTAAGCGCGCAGGGGGGACCCCCTCATGGGGGGAACCCCATGGGCCAGAACCCCATGGGGCCAACGGCAGCGACACAGGGGGTGATGTCCCAGCAACAGGGCATGCTGCAAAGCCTCGGACACCCATCAGAGTGAGTGGATAAACAAGTTTGCCATGAAGTGGGTTTACATCAAATTCTATGGCTTGTGCAAGAGTGCGCTGCTAAATCGGTAAGGGGCAGCTTTAAACATGTGACTAAATATTTCGAATATTGGAATGCTTCGAATATTCAAATGAATAGTAGATTCAAGTTTAAAATACTGAAAACTTCGAAGTACAGTGAAGCCTGCTTATAACGAACCTCCATATAACGAATTCCTCGATATAACGAAGTTTTTTATTCCCCGCTGTCGTTCCATAGTTCCATAGAAGCACATGTATTTGAGACCTCTATGTAACCAAGTAACAGTGGGAGACAACCTTGATATAACTAATTTCCCCCTAGGAAAATCGAGGAATTTCGCTCCGTATTTTGGCATTTTGGTACAAGCATGCATCTTACAACTTCCGCAGCTGCCCTGCCACCAACGAAGCGCAAAGCGTCGGCGGCGAGCACGCAGGCCGCGTCCGGCGGGCAGGTAGCCCTGCGCACCACGATCCGGCTTTGCCGCTGTTCTCGCCATCGCGCTCGCATGCTCAAGTGTGCCCCCCGCACTCCAAACCAACATAAAAAAAAACTACTTTTGCACATTGACAGTGGCACACTTTTAGTTAGCGTCACATTTATAGGGCCGCGCCGCATATAGAGGGCGCTTTACTGATCAATTTTCCGCAATATCCGTGTCTGTGTTCATGTCGTTCGCTCTTCATTTCCAACGCTGTGCGCGCGTGCATAGTTTCACTGCGTGCGCATGATGTGGCCCCCCCAACGACGTTCAGTTTTGCTTTTTCATTTTATTGCGATAGCAATTATGTGTAGGACAGGCTCGGCTGGCTTTCTGCTTCCGCCGTCACAATTCACGTATCTATATATATCAAAACTCAACAAAGGGGGGAAAAAAAATTGGCCCCGTATCTGCATGTAATCTGCGAATGTCATCGAAAGACGATAGCCTTGCGTGTGGAGAGAGTGAACAAAACATTTATTTGATGTTCTGCGCAAGAAAATCGGTGAATGGTATTCCGGAGGCGCTGTTGGAGTACCTGTTAGAGTGCCTCGAGCGTGCAGCGAAGGCGAACGAGAGCATCAAGTCACATCACTCGTGAGACATGAGTGCCATCTGGAAGTTCTTTTTGGAAAACAAAGCGCATGGCCCTGAGATGGGCGCGCGCGCCCATCTCAGAGGTGATAAAGTGTAGAATGCAAGGGGACGGGTAAGTGCCACCACCGTGTCGTCTCGCTTCTCCGTGCAAGAGTTGCATGGTCAGCGCAGGGTGGCAAGCGCTACGGTCCTTAGAATTACTTATTTATGCCTTTTCGAGTAAAAGACGAACATGCAGAATATATATGTGTTGTTATGGTGCCTCAGATATGTGCAATAATTGCTTTTTAATTGACAATCGCACACGTATGAACTCTGGTTCTTGAGCAACATTGGTGGGCGCTGCGGATGATGTCGGCTGTTTGGGGTATCGGCTGGTGCTGTTTAGAGTACCCGGTTCGCGGTAACGGTGGACAGACAAATGTACAGGCAGACAGACCAAAGTTTTTGCGTGGAAAGTCCCCAAGAAAGACTATCGTCTTTAAAAAGAAAAAGCTGCCCGTGCTTGGCGCCAAGCTTGTCACGATGCCCCCAGGTGCGCTTATCTCCCACGTGTACTTTCCCCTGTGAATAAAGGGGTGGGTGGGGCAGTACATGCTTGCAGAATCGCGTGCTTCCGACTTTGACGGAGGAACGATTGAGTTCAGTTGCCGGGCGCACGAGGGTCACTTCGCTCGCTGTACAGGCGTCGTTTGTGAAAAGAGTGCGCTTTTCAAATACACCGAAGTAACAACTGGGGCACTTGTTAGTTTGCACTCATATCTGTACCTGTTATTACGTTTCCTGCCTCGTTTTTGTTTGAACAGCGCTTGGTTGAACAGCGCATTAAGTGTCGAGTGGCAAGCGTTGTTAGTTTCATCTTGTCCTGCGTATGTTGTTTTCTTATGTCATTTGTGCGTGAACAGCGTGCTGCATGTTGCAATCTGCTTGCCTTTTCTCAGTGTTACATTCCAAGAATTGCTGTTAATGCATTAATTGCTTCACCCTTGCGGCGAAATTCTGACTTTTTAAAATTTCGGACAACCGTGTCTTCACCACGTAGGGAATGTCAGATTAGGTGCTGATTGAAACTCTCCGAAACCGCGGTGACGACGGATCTTTGGAGGTCGACTTGTCACGCGCTTTCGCTTTGAGCCGCGCCACGAGTTTGCAGGCTGGTAGCTTTCGCGATTAGCCGATTAGTTCTGGCAACACGACGGGACGTTGAACGCAATGCAATGAACGCGATAGCGAAAAATTGTAATGTGATAAGAAGTAAGGCTGGCAGCCAACTCTTCTGCATCCGGTATCGCGGTACTCCTAAGAAACGCTAGTGTGAGCAAATACGGCTGCTCCAAGAAGAAGTGCTCTTTTCACACAGCTCTTTCGCGTTGAAACTGCACTGATACTCGCCGAGATAGCAAGCGCCCCAGCGATCCTGAGCGCTCTTGAAATCATTCATTATTTCTGCTTGTGCGATTTCTCTTCCCCTCGCCCTCTCGCGTTGTTTTGGGCTCGTTCAAGACGGGTGGTTTACTTTCTGTTTGAGCACTCGACGGCAGTTGTAACACGCGAGAGATGTAATGCACTTTCCAGGCGATAGGGATGGGCTGACTCATTTTATCTCTGCTTCAGCAGCGCGCGCGCGCTTTTACTCGCTCGTAAAAGTTAGGATGCGCGGGGGCATGTTATCAATTTGCACTTGTTACGGAACATGGCGGCGATGGCAAAAGCCCGCTGAGAGTGTTCCTATAATTGCTATCGCGATATTAATGCAGTTTTTAACTGTGAAATAAGTGGTTTGGGTTAGCTCTGCCTTCAGTCCCCCCATTTGTTTAATTTGCGCTTTTATTTTTCGAATTTTCGTGCCGAACCTGCATATAACAACATCCTCTTTATAACGAATATTCGCGGGAATTCATCAATTTGTTATATCCAGGTTTAACTGTATTCGCAGTTCACATGTAACCGCTTGTAAAGGTGGTTTCATGCAGTGTAAGAGTGCTAAGCCGCAAAAGTACCTATTCAAGGGAAATCTGCCCTGCCGACCAGCCTTTCCTCAATTTTAAAGGGGCCCTGCAACACTTTTTGAGCATGGTCAGAAAACGCTTCCGGTCGGTGGTCGAGGTACAACACGCGAGCCAAATATTAGAGCACATCGCTCGACCTGCTATTCACAATAAATTCTCAAAGCCTGCTAAAAACTGCTCTCTTCTGTCAGAAAATGATGCCACAAGCCGGCACAAAAGTCACACGTCACAGCCATTGCATCAGCCACTGGTTGGTTTGAGCATGGCGCGCTCGGTCATTACTGGGGCTGCCGCGGGAGGCTGCACTTGTAGCAACTGCAGTGTACGACAGAAATTTTCCACGCTCGTACTGGACAGTGAGTGAGTAAAAACTTTATTGAACATGTCCGGCGTCATTGAGCGGGGTGTGGCTACAAGCACCCCGGCCTAGGTGACGGCCTCGAGTCCTTGGACCCGGGCGGCATCCTGGGCTTGCCGGACGGCCCACAGTTGATCGGCAAGGTCGTGACTGAGCAGAGCCGCCTCCCATCGCGCCTCGCGGTTCGAGACTGCCATGTCTACCGGGTTCGTAGGGGACTGCTGCGCGTTACCGGTACACTTCCACAGCATGTGCTGCAGCGTCGCTCTGGCTCCGCACGCCTTACACGCGTCGGACGTATAAATGCCTGGGTAGCAGAGGCGAAGGATCACCGGATTCGGGTACGTGTGTGTCTGTAGTTGTCTCCAGGCAACCTGCTGTTTCTTGTTTAGTTTGGCGTGGGGTGGTGGATATTTGCATCTGTTCAGTCTGTAGTGTTGCGTGATGTCTCTGAAAGTGGTCATGCGATCCCCCCACGTCCATTCCCGCATCGCTGTCGAAGTGTGCGAGACATCGGGACTGTCGGCAGGCGTCGCAGCTCGGCGTGTAAGTCCTCGAGCCGCGGCGTGGGCAGTCGCGTTGCCCGCAAGCGGAGGGTCCGTGTGGGCGGGGGTCCATACGAGGAAACTGTCGTTTTTGCGGCAGATGTTGCGTTCGTGAATTTGGAGAATGCGGGCTGCTTCGCGGGAGATCCGGCCGCTGGCGTAGTTGCGTATCGCCGCCTGCGAGTCGCCTATTATCAGCTCGGCGTCCGTGGTGGCTATCGCGAGAGCTATGGCAGCTTCTTCGGCCGCCTCCGTCTCTTCCGTGCCTATCGTCGCACTCGTGACGCAAGTTCCTACATGATCCGTGATTGCGACCGCGAAGCCACGGTGGCAGTCGTAACGGGCCGCGTCCACGTAAACTGTGTCTTTGCTATTGCCGAATTTCTTTTCAAGGTCTTGGGCGCGCCTGTTGCGCCAACCGATGTGATGTGTCGGGTGCATGTTCTTAGGCAACGGCATAACGACGATGCGCTCGCGAATACGTCTGGGTATCCCGACCTTTTCACCGCGCTGCGTATGGTAGTTGATACCCAGTGTCTCGAGGATGTGTCGACCAGTTCTGGTCTTCGCCAGACGTTCGTACTGGGCGATGTTGTGTGCTTCGATTATCTCATCTAGAGTATTGTGCAACCCCAGCTCGAGAAATTTTTCCGTGCTGGTATTGGCCGGTAATCCGATTGCGCGTTTGTACGCCTTGCGGATGAGACAATCTAGTTTGGTGCGTTCAGTCGCCTGCCACTTGAGGTAGGAGGCGACGTACGTTATATGGTTCATAGCGAAAGCATGTACCAGGCGAATGGTATTGCTTTCCTTCATTCCGCTATGCCGATTTGTTATTCGTTTCAGCAACCGGATTGTTTCATTGACCGCGCCCTCTAGTCTGCGAACGGTTTCGCCGTTGTGGCCATTGGCGGACAGGCGCAAGCCCAGTACCCTAATGGTGTTAACTTGTGGGATGACAGCGCCGTCTGATGTGCGTACATTAATTTCTCTATATGCGCACTCGAATGCGGAATCGGCGTTCTTGGGTTTACGGCCCCTGCGCGAGGGTCTATAAAGCAGGAGCTCCGATTTAGCGGCGGAACATTCGAGGCCAGTGTCGCGTAGGTAGTCCTGCACCACGTCGACGGCTTCCTGCAGCGTTTGCTCTACGTGGCCGTCATTTCCCTCGGCAACCCAGAGGGTGATATCATCGGCGTACAAGCTATGGTGGAGGCCTTCTATCTCAGCGAGTTTTCGTGGTAATCCGACAAGCACGAGGTTAAAGAGCATGGGCGAGATTACGGAGCCCTGCGGCGTGCCCGTACAACCCATGTATATGTCCTGCGATTCTAGTCCGCCGATCGCTAATCGGGCCCGGCGGCCCGTAAGAAAATCCCGTACGTAGTGGTACGTTCTCTCGCCCAGTCCCAACGTTCGTATACTTTCAAGTATCGCAGCATGGCTAACGTTGTCGAACGCCTTTTTGAGGTCGAGCCCGAGTATCGCTTTGGTGGATCGTGTGGGATTGTCTACGATATCGTGCTTGAGTTGAAGCATAACGTCCTGCGTGGAAAGGTTACGACGGAACCCCAGCATCGTGTGTGGGAGCATGTTTCGGTCCTCGAGGTAGTTGGTAAGGCGAGCGAGAACCACATGTTCCATGACCTTAACAACGCAGGATGTCAGGGATATCGGTCGAAGGTTGTCAATCTGTACTCGTTTGCCCGGTTTGGGGATCATAATTATGCGCGCCGTTTTCCACGAGTTCGGTATAGCGCCCGCATTCCAGCACTCGTTCATGTAAGCCGTCAGTTGTTCTATCGACTCGTCGTCCAAGTTACGTAGCGCTTTGTTGGTTATCCCGTCCGGGCCTGGCGCCGACTTTGTGTTGAGCCTGTGCAGCACCGCCCTCACCTCTGCAACGCTGAAGTCCTCGTCTAGCTCCGCGTTACCCTCACCCTCCCAGGCGTATGCCGAGTGCGTGAGGGGGCTACGTGACTGAAAGTAACGGCTTCGCACGTCATCTAGAAAGTCCGCGAGGGTGCCTTTGTAGTCGTGCAGCAACTTGTTAAGCTTATGTGCGTGCGATGTTTTTGTCTCCTCTGGATCCAAGAGGTGCCGGAGGAGATGCCACGTCTTGGCCCGTCCCAGCTGGTTCTCCATCCCATTGCAGATCTCTTCCCATTGCGTTTTGCATACCTGTAACGCGTGCTCTTCCATGTCCCTGCTTAGCCGTGCTATGCGTCTGCGCAGCGTTCGATTGTGGCGTTGACGCTTCCACCTGTCTTGCAGGCTGCGCTTGGCTTCCCACATGTGTAGGAGTTTGCTGTCTACCACTTCGAGCTGTGCTTCTGGCGGAACCTCCCGCGTCGCCGTTTCTAAATCCCCCTTGAGCGTCGCAGTCCAGCTATCTATATCCTCAATAGCCGCACTGCCACGATTCTGCTCTTTCCGGACTTTGCGAAACGCGTCCCAATCCACCAGCCGGTGGTTCTTGCCCTTGGTACCTTCCCGATGAACGCGGTGGTGAGGTTCAGCGTCGACCTGGATCTCGATCACTGAGTGATCGCTACCCAGGTCCTCCTGTGTATTGTGCCATCGCGCGCTAGCAACGTTCTTGGTAAATGTGAGGTCGGGTGAGGTGTCTGCACATACGCTGTTGCCCCTGCGCGTAGGCGCGGAAGGGTCTGTGATGAGCTCGAGGCTCTCATTCTGCGCATCGTCCCAAAGGCGCTTACCTTTTGGCGTTTCGTAGCCGTACCCCCACGCCGCGTGGGGCGCGTTGAAGTCGCCCGCGATGAGCAAGGGCCTGTCGGCAGCTGCCTCGCGCGCGTCTCGCAGTAACGTGCTAAAGCGGTGTCTGGCTTTGGGTCTGCTATACACGTTCAGCACAAACAGGCCGGGGCCGCGCCCTTTCGTCGGGATGAGCTCTATGAATACATGCGGTATGCTAACATTCATAAGTTCGCGTTGCGCCACGGTGAGGTTGCGTCGCACTAGCGTTGCAGCGGCCGGTGGGGCTCCCGCGGTCACAGCTTCGTCTATAGATTTGTACCCCGCCAGCTTGACCGGGTCATTGGTTTCCTGCAATAGTATTACGTCCGGTCGTTGCCAGCTACGTAAGAATTGTTGGAGAAGCGCCCGTTTCCTCCTGTACCCCCTGCAGTTCCACTGCCAGATACTGGACAGATTCTAAAAATTTTTGCAGCGATGAATTCATGAGGCAATAAGCTTCTTTAGTAAATCCATTCCTTGGATTTACTGATTGGGCCCTACTAAAGGGCCCCTTTACATGAACACATATTACCCCCAAATCAGTTCATCACTTCATTAACCTTAAAAGCCTGTTATGACGGCTTTTATGCTGTAAGTAAATAAGTTTTAAAGTTTTACTTATTGTACCGGTTACGACTTCTATCCCACCAAAAGTCTAATCCTGCTACTACTCACAACTGTTTCGACTAACCTTGAACGAAAAAAAGAAAAAAAGGCATTTGCATAGAAGCCCTATTTTAATTTTTAAGAATTATTGCGCAGATTCTTTAGGTCATGATAAATATTCCCTTTTATATATATATATATCATACATACCATTCGAATTCAATTCGAAATTATTTGCCCAAGATCACTATTCACTCCAAACCTAAAATTCACTATTTGCACAAGCCTACACGTGACATGTGGTTTGATTTTATGTTTGGTCAAACATATGATGCATCACAGTCTGATTTTTCATATACAACCTCACGATGCAAGATGCAAATGGGTCAGGGGCACGGAAACTTTACTCAGACCTGGCATCCAGCCGTGCACACTTGTATTAGTTTGCACACTGGCAAAATTGCGAGTTTCTATTCCAGTATGGAAAACCATCTATGTTAATTAATATAGACCCAGTGCTTGTTCACATGCATTGTTTTGGTTCAGTGCAGATTAGAATAGCAAGATTTGTATATCATGAGTGAGCCTTTGTGTGACATGGGCTTGCATTCATTCCAGAATCCCGCCTCTGGACATGGGCCCCAGTCTGGCCTCTGAGAATTCCAGGGATCTTACCACTCTTCGTGCTCCTCTGGCATGGAAGGTGCCGCTCCCCGCATGGGCCCGGCCATGTCGGATGGTACAGGGGGTCCGCGCTTTGCAACGAGTCCCCCTTATGACACGCGATTCCCAGGAGGAGCACCGCACGAAGCACCCGGCTTTGGCTACATGGACCCCCGGTGCAGGGTTGGTGTAGGGCCCGAGCCAGACACGACGGACCCGTCGCACCAGGGCCGCTACCCTGCAGCACACCACCAGGGCTTTGCTACGGGTGCCATGCCGCCGCATCAGGGGGCTGCATTTCCTGGGGCTTCCCAGGCGGGGCCAACAACGGGGGCACGCGATTTTGGCGAGCCGATGATGGGCGCTGCGGGCTTCCCAAGGCCCGGCGGCGGCTATGTCGGTGATGTTCCCCACTCGCCCCACATCCAGAGCCTGCAGAAGATGACGCCCCCTTTTGATGGCAGCGGCAAAGGAGATGTGCCAGCAGACCCACTTAACGGACCCCATCGTGGAAGTCCTGGCTGCTTGGTGCCTCTCGAACCAGCTTCGGCACAGTTTATGGGCGGCGGTGGACCCATGATGTCTCACGGAAGGGGAGCTGCCACGGCTGCTGCAGCACCGTATCCTACGATGGCCCCTGCCCGCAACTCACCTGGACCTCGTGCACGGGGTCGTGGCTCTGCGAACTCTGCTGCAGCTGCTGCTGCAGCAGCAGCGGCTGCTTCCTTCGGAGGTGGAGCCAATGTGCAAGTGAAACTTGGTGCCCCCAACACGATCCAGTACCTCCCCGCACGACCTCAGAACCCAGTGGCAGCACCGCCGCACCGAGCACCGAGCTTGGATTTCCTCCAGCGTTTCACAACGCCGCTAACCAACCTCGACACAAAGGTGCCCACGCAGAACCTACAGTACTTCCCACCATCAGGACCACCCCAGAGGACGGGTCCCGTCATGATGATGCGAGGTGGGCCCAGTGGACCTGGGGCCTATGCAGGAGCACGCGGGTTACCCCCAATGGACGCATATGGCGGGGGCCCCAATGGTCCTCAGCATGGAGGGATGCCTGTCAATGCTATGTTTCAGGGCGGCAAGGGACTGCGGCCGGCATCTCCCGGAGGTGGCGCCGGTGGTGACGTAGTGTCGCAGCCGCTGCCTCCGACTGTGGGGCAGGCATTCAGTTACAAGCAGGGCCCCTTCTATGGACCCACAACAGCCGACCCCAACTATGCGGTGCAGTTTCACAACTTTCAGCAGCAGCTCTACGCCACTAACACCCGCAGCCAGGGTGCAACAACGTCTGGACCGTCGGGCGCGACAGCGGCTGCCGCGGGGTTCTTTGGCCCAAAGTGACTTGACCGCTTCCCTGCTCCGCCTCTCGGGGAAGGAAGGAAATTTGTGACCCCCCTCTCTTCGTGCACCATCTTTCTCAGCAGTTGTGTGTTTCCAAAGCCTGAGTCATAGGTGCGTGACTCCATTTCTCATATGTGTGACACACAGGTTGGGCGAGTTGCACAGTATGGGGGCACCACGAGGGAGCTATGGACACTGTGGGACAGGGAGTGCTCAGGCTCCAAAGCACAACTTTGATAGCCTCTTGTCTGTGTGCCTGACCAGAGCCGACTTTCTTTTGCTCAACAAGGCCCGATGTAGCCAGCGGAGCCCCCCCGCCCTCACATCACGTTTCTTTGGTGTCGCCGCCAAGGAGGCACGTGGCTTCATCTCGGTAGGACCGATGTGATTTCGGTGAATTGTGCTGCTCTTGAAGCAGTCGTGCTGAGGAGCAACCAGCACTCAGATGTCCGTGCCATCTTTTTTCGAGATCATTAGTGTTTTAGCCCCCCTTTTCTCAGTGGCTTTGGTGTTGATGGGGCCCCTCACTGGTTGTTGTTTTTTCTCGTTTTGTTGGCAGTTGTTCCTGGTGCCACGCTCCTCACTGATTTTGTTTTCTTGTTTTGCAAGACTGATGGAAAGAATATATATATATATATATATAAATAGAGAGGGGGGAAGATGCTTAAATTGCAGGCAATTTTGACAAGGGATGCTGAACTTCTTTTACATAGCTAGCCTTTTGGCAGCACGGCCTAGAGTGGGAAATTGTAATGGTCAAGCCGGTGGCCCTGTTGCACTTGCGAGGTTATCTTTCTTTTATGGTTGTGTGCTATCGCAGCTAGATACCATGGGCCACTGCGGAGGGACACAGACATTCTTAATGGCTGTTTCTGTTGCTTCACATAAGGCAGCTTGTTTTTTTAAAATTTTTTTCTTTTTTCTATACCTCACCTGCTGACTCAACAAGATGTGTTTATGGTGTGCCATGTTTGTGGTAGCATAAGCCTGTCCCACATGGAAGACAAGTGTGCTGCTTGTTTCTTTCAGTGCCAACCAGGCGTTACGTTTAGAACGAGCAAGGGAACTATTTCTGCGCTCAAGTCTCCTACGCACAACTTTGTTTTTTTCACTGTATGATTGTTGTTCCCAAAGAACCTCCGCGTCACTATCTTTTTTTACACAAGCACAAGCTCTTTTCATTTATTCTGCCCCTGCTCCATGCCACCTTACTACAGTTAAACCTGGATATAATGAAATTTACAAATTTCTGGAGAAATTCGTTATAACAAGGATTTCATTAAATGCAGGTTCGGTTTGAAAATTCGTAAAATAAACGCACAATTTTACAAAGCGGGAACTGAAGGGAAAAGCCAACCCAAAACAATTGTTTAACGGTAAAGAAACTGCGTTATTGTGATAGAATTTACATGGGCACTCTCGGCTGGTTTTTGCCGTCGCCGCCATGTTCCGTAACAAGTCCGAATTGATAACATGCCCCCACGCATTGTAACTATTACAAGCGGGTAAGAGCGCACGAGAGCTGTTGAAGCAGTGATCAAATCAGCCGGCCCATCTCTATCACCTGGAGGGCGAATAAAATAACATCTTCCTACGTGTTAGAACTGCCGTCGAATGCTCAAACAGAAAGAAAACCAGTTGTCTTGAACGAGCATGAAAAAACCCACGGGAGGGGGGGGGGGGGGGTCGCTCGTGTAGCAAAGGTAAACTTTGATTTTAAGAGCATGGTCGCAATTGCTGACATTTGTGCATGGTCGCAATTGCTGACACTTGTGCTATCTCGGCAAACGTCAGTGCACTTTCAATGCGAAGTGACTGTCTGCAAAGAGCACTTCTCCCTGGAGTAGCCATATTTGCTTACACGAACGTTTAGTTGGAGTTCTGCAATATCAAATCTAAAAGAGTTGGCTGCCAGTTGTACTTCGTATAACATTACATTTTGTTGCCATCGCATTCATTCCATTGCATTCAATACACCGTTGTGTTGTTGCCCGAGCTAATCTCAAAGACTACGATTCCGCGAACTCGCGTTGCGGCGCAAGACTGAAGCGCGTGATGAGTTGACCTCCGAAGATCCGTCATTATTAGCCTGGTCTCGATAGAGTTTCCATCACCGCCAAATCTGATATCTCCTGGCTAGTGACAAAAAGAAAGCAAAGCTGAACGTCGTCGGAGGCCACACCATGCGTGCAAACTATGCACGTACGCACGGCGCTGAAAACAAAAAGCACACAACACGGATACCGCGGAAAACAATTCGATAATGCACCCTCTGTATATGCAACGCGGCTTCACAGATGTGACGCTAGCTAACTAAAAGCGTGGCACTGCCAACGCAACAGTATTTTCTTTTTTTGGGGGGGAGGGGGGAAGAAGGGAAGGGTAGGCACATCCGCGCATGTGCCCGCGGTGACAAGAACGACGGCTCGTGGGGCACAGGCCCCCCTGAGACTTGCCGGGTTCACGAGCGGCCCACCACCGCTTCCGCTCTTCGGCGGCGGGGCAGCCACGGAAGATGCTTGTACTAAAATGAGAAAATCCGGGGGAAAATTTCTAGATTGTCCAAGGACGAAATTCTTTATGTCAAGGTTGTCTCTCGCTGTTACTTTGTTACGTAGAAGTCGCAAATACATGTGCTTTTATAGTGCAACGGCAAATAGAAAACCTTCGTTATATAGAGGAATTCGTTATATGGAGGTTCGTTATAAGCAGGTTTAACTGTATTTGGGTTTTGCTTTGTCCATGAAAAATTCGAAGGGGAGTGACTTTACTGCTCAATTTTATAGTGCAACTTAGAGGAGAATGAGGAACAAAAGAAGAAGAAAAAAAAAGGGCGAAAATACAAGATACGTCACTCATCGCGTCAGCCATAAAGCTAAGTTATTTATCATGAAAAAGAAAAGTCGTCTTCACTGTGGTGTTTTGTGTTATTTTTATTTTATCCTTTTTATTATTTTTATAAATAGTACACCATTTCTCTACCTTATAAGTCACTGAAGAGTGTTGAGTTTTTGCTAGGTTATTTTTGAAAAGGAAGTTGTTCTGTGTTCCTCACAAGTGAGATCCCGTCCATGGAGTTTGTAAAGAAAGAAAAAGGGGAAGGGGAGGGGTAACAAAGCTTTTGTCATTGGTCTGACGAGGCATAGAAGCCCTCGCCGTATACGACTGCAGCTGCGTTGATAACACACTTTTGCCGCCCTCTCTTTCACTGTATATCTTTCCTCTCACCATCATTCCCACGGTATTTCCCATACAGTGTGACTGAAAGGGTGTGCAGCCTTGGATCTTGTGCACCTGGTAGGGCTGTCATTAAAAGCATTTCACTTGTGCAGTAGTCTGAATGTAACAAATTATAAAGTTTCATTAACCTTCATATGCATTGTACCATTCATTCATTCATTCACTGTTTATTGAGACAAAAACAATGATTGCCTAGGTTGAAGGGACTAAAGGCAGATTACCTCTGCCTGACTAAGGTCCCTCCACCCATACATTAGCTCAGGTGAAGTGGAACAAAGTATACAAATTTCATTCTGCTTTTGAATGAGGGGACACGAAATTCAAATTCAACAAGTATAACAGATGTCGACACATACGTTTTAAAATAACACATTACAGTCATCACCAATTTGCAGTACCAATTTGCAGTACCTTGTGCAGAGGGATGGGAGAGGGTACATTCAAAGGTTACTAGCTTATTACCACGAGTACACTTGCTCTTTCAGCAATCATTGAAAGTTTTCATAGGGAGTCGAGCTGTGAAATTCTCATATCATAGTCGAGGCGTTAATGAGCAGCCTTCTTCTCACTTGTTTCTGCAATTGCATTTTAGCTTTATGATCATTAGATTATTTTTCTGCTTAACTTTCATGCCTAACGTTTGAAGAAAGGTTCGAATTTTGCCTTATACAGTTTTCTTCTCACATGCGGAAAGTGGAAGTAAGTAAATATGGACAATGGACTAGAATCAAATGAAAAAAAAATGCATAGTGGAAGACCGCGATACAACAAGGGTGAGATAGACCAAACAGCACTAGTGGTGGTGTATTTCAGCGCAAGTCCTGTTTGGTGGTCTTCCCCATATTTGTTGTATTGCTCTTTTTTGCCATGATCAAATTCGCACAGTGAGCAAAAAAACTGCAGTGAGCAAAGAAACGTATGTTGTGGCTTACTGAACATGCTGCAAGCAGAACTCAGGTGCCCGCCCTTTCCAGTCCAGGCTAGTATGGAACACCTTGACAAATTTACTGGTAAAAAGAAAGGTATTTCCTCATGTGGGAAGTCTCGTGCGACTAACCGTATGCAACATTGAGTACAAGTGGTGATGTTCCTGGCTCAGTGCCAGGCAAGTTGCCATCTGAAGTTGTAAGTGCAAGTTCTGCTAGTCCTATAAAATCATGCGAGGTATCCCTGGGAGTGTTCATACAAGATACCTGCTTGGCATGCAATAAGTATCAGTCAAATTCCGCATCAGTAACGATTAGTTGCATAAGCAGAAAATAGGCAGATGAATCTGACATTTGCGCTCCTTGTAAGCATGAATTGGTGTGCTGTGACAAAAGTTCGTAAGGTACTAGGTACACAGGCTGCACTTCCTTTCAGCTGCGTCATTCTCTCGTTAAACAGCATTCACACAATGTCCCACAGTGCATGGCTCATTTCCTGTCATCATTGTTGCCCAATGCGATGCGTGAGTTTCTAACTCGCATTTAGTTTCCTTTCGTAGGGTAGCAGGGAAAGAAGTGGGGGGTTGAAAGAGAGAAACTGATTGTAAATGAATGATCGGAAGCGGGCACAGTTTTCATGGCTCATCCTAAATAATGACCCGCACATGCAAAGAAAATGCTCAAAATGGGAGAGAGCTCGTCCCATCCCCACAACACCACATCTTTGCCCGGTAGTGTGGTTCTTGCCCTATTCTTCGAATGTTCTCGACATCTTTTAAAAATCTTTGTTGTGTCTTTGTGTACCTGCTGTCCTAGCACAATAGAGTTGCCCTTAAGACCTGCCTGGAACGAAAAGCGATGGCTTGGCACTTGTCAAATATCAAACAGTACCACCTGTTTGTCAAAGAATTTGTAAATAATATCAAAAGTTAAGCACTTGCTTTCAGCTAGCTTTGATTGAGTGCTTTCATTTAAATTCATCAAAGTGTTCTGTATGAGCAAGCAGTGCAGATTGTGCTACTTTAAAAAAAGCAAATGTTGCTTTTGTTGCCTTACACCAAGAGAGCTTCCTTTATGGAACAAATAGAGAAGTTTCGGCCAAGTTATGCTCAGCCAAACTTCCTTGCCTCTTCGCACCCGTGCATGGGCTGCACTAAAAAATTCATGGGCAGTTCCATCGCATTTCTGTCTAGGTGATATCGTGGGAAACTCTCAACTATAATGCAATACAGTGTTAACCCTCCTGTTGCCTATAACATAACTAGTTTACAAATAGGGGGGGGGGGGGGGGCTGATCTCGTCTTCATTGAATTGTGTACACAGCAGTTAGGCAGGACAGATGTTTAGTTGCTCTTTTTACTGTACTCTGTCAGGAACATTCAAGTGTTGCTTTTTTGGCTAGCTTGGTTAGCGCCTTATTGAACATTAGGCAGTTGTACTACATTCAAAGACATTACTATATGTTCCTCATTTTTTGTGTAGCACATTCAGCATAGAAGCAGCGTTCAGACTCAGAAATTCGTGCACTCAAAGAGTTTGAAGTGTTGGGTGCTGTTCCTCATGCCATGGCATAATTTGTGGAAGTGCAAAATGTTTGCCTCCTTCTCTGATATTCAGTTGCTGTGCTTTGCAAGGCTTCAGTGCTTTATGTTGCTTGCAGCATGCACCAGTGACTGTGGGCAAATGATCGGTTATTGCGGGTCTGACAGCAGGCACCATGTTGGGTGCTCTTGCAAGGTGGCCTGCTTTTTGCAACATTGGTACTGTTGCAGCTCAACATATAGCTCATTTAACATTTTTATTTTTTACTGAAAAAAAGAACATGGGGGGGCACCTGACTCTGTTGGTTAGATTGGCCTTCACTTTTTACAGATGAAATCGAGAAGCATGCTTTGTATACGGCAGCTTTCTGTCAAAGTCTATGATGTCCTCTTTTCATTGTTACCAGCCAATCATCATGCATGGGCCCTTCTTGCAAAGTATGGGAATAATTCCGCGTCGTCATCTTAATTCTTACCTCCCGCCTGCCCCTTTGATCTCCAGTTAACATGTTTTCTTTTGCTTTTGTGTTTTTTTTTACATCAAGCAACAGGGTAGCGTCACCGCACAACAAATAAAAAAAAAGAGAGAGAGAG